TTTAAAAATAAAAAGCTATCAGAAGCTTGTAGATGATAATAAAATAAAACAAGATGTCATGACTTAGAAGTGGATGAGAGAAAATTATTATAAGGTTTGAAACGTTTAAATTACATGTGTACGATCTACAGATTAGGTCTAAATTAGAAGGAGATACTTTTTATTACCAGTTCATGGTGTCCGTGAGATGATATACTACGCATGTAAAGTTTGCAGCTAATTTTGATGATTTTACCACTGATTAACGGTGACCTTGGGCAAGACTCTTGTCTCTCAGGGTCTTATTTTCTCATTGAAAGTTGATGCATTTAAAACCAGGCAACTTCTAAAGAAGTTGCTTTTTAAATGATTTTTTTCTTTTTAAACTGGAATTAGAAGCTTTTTTATCAGGCGTTTTTACATTTGCAGTTGGGGACTCTGGGAGCCGGTAACCAACTCTGGGAGCAGGTAACCACTACGCTGAAATCCAGGTTGTGGATGAGATTTTCAATGAATATGCTGCAAAGAAAATGGGCATCGACCATAAGGGACAAGTGTGTGTGATGATCCACAGCGGGAGCAGAGGCTTGGGCCACCAGGTAGCCACAGGTATGTTCTAGACCTAATTTTTGCCCGGAATCACATAGAACTTTAAGAAAGAAAGCTTTGGCACCATACTGCATGTGTTTTTATCATAGTTCTCCTGTTTTAATTTTGAAGAAGTCAGTAACTTTACTTTCTCATCTTAAGAATGGGTATAGTAACTTTTCATAGGGTGTTGGCATAGGAGGGTAAGTGAAATAATGTACACTGCAAAGCACTTAAATCAGCACTTGATGCTTAGCAAACAGTAAGTAAATGTTAGCTCTAGTTACAGTTTTAATAATTTTACAGGGTACTGGAACTGGCTAAGAAAGTACTTCAGTTGTGGAATTTATGAAGTGGGCATTCATTCAGCAAATATTTATTAAATACCTACTCTGCAAAATTAGGTGTTAAGTAATTCAGTGATGAGATGGGTACTTTCCATCAAACTGTCTATAAGGAGAGCTCGTATTAATATAAAAGAGAATAAAGAGAGAGGGTAGTAATTGGTAGAGTACTGTAGGAGGGACAAGTACGACGCGCTCGAAAACAGATTTTGAAGATGGCTTCACAGACACTAAACATTTGAACTGGGCTTTGCAATTTGGATAATCACATAAAAAGGACATTCATTGGGATCAGCAGGTGGTGTGGTGGTTAAAGGCACTGGATTCCCACATGGCCGACCATGGTTCAAGCCCCAGACCTGGTGGCTTGGTTTCCCCCTTTCCCTTTCTCTGTCTCTCTCTGGTCAAATTAAAAATAATAACAGGCCAGCAGGTGGCGTGGTGGTTAAGGACACTGGACTCCCACATGGCCAACCTTTTCCAGTCACAGACCTGGGAGCTTGTTTTCTCACTTTCTCTGTCTCTCTGTCCCTCTGTCCCTGTCTGGTTATATTAAAATAAATAAAGTTAAATAAAATAATTCTTTAAAAATAATAATAACAAATGGAATTAAATAGATAAATAATTATTTTTTAAAAAAGGACATTTGGGGCCAGCAGGTGGTGTGTTGGTTAAGGGCACACTGGACGTCCACATGGTTAACCGCAGTTCAAGTCCCAGACATGGCGACTTGTTTTCTCGCTTTCTCTCTCTTTCTCTTTCCATCTCTGTTTAAATTAGAATAAATAAAGTGAAATAAAACAATTATTTTTTAGTACACTCATGACAAAAAGTTTGAACAAAAGCTAGACACAGGGAGATAACTAGTAGATCACTTTGGATGACTTCTTGGGTATAGGAAAGGATTTATAAATATATGAAAAGGTATATAGACATGGAAATTGCTGTGATCTTTAAATTTTGTGTTATAGTTTATCTTTGTATGTGTATTTCATCTTTTCTTTTTTTAATTTTTTCAGGTTCCAAATATTTCTTTTTTCTTTTTTTTTTTTTTTTTTTTTTTTTTTTTTTAGGGTTTTTTTTTTGTGGGGGG